TTTTTTCCCACTATCATTCTACTAATTTTATTGCTGGTAAGTTATAGATTTAAGTTGTATATCGTTCAATCCTCAATTTTTCCTTTGTGAATTTTCCGCATTTTTTTCTTAACTTCGTCGGAAATAATTGAAACCATTCTAGGACGCCAACCCTCCAACTCCTGCGAGCATGCCAGCTCCAAGTCCTGCCGCCTCTTCTGTAGCTGACGATTCCATAGATGACAAATCTCGCTTAGAATCACCCAGCTGGGCTAATCAGGGGCAGGTAGGAGTTGATATCTGAAGTATAAATTTCTTACTTTAAACAAATTTTCTCTTGCAGCGTACTCCTCTTCCGCCTGGTACTCAAACGCCAAGCGCACCACCACAAATGCATCCTGCAGGACCACCCCCACCGGGTGGCATGATGATGCACCCAGGGATGATGCCACCACAAGGTATGATGCCGCCGGTAATGCAACCAACTCCACCTTCTGGTCCCAGAAAAGAAAGTATCGTGGACAAACTTGTAAGTTACACTAACTTGTAACAAATCTTGCGTATGTTCTGTTTTCTTTCTTTGGGTGGGTCCACCAACTGCAGCAAATCCGCCAAGAGTCATGCCGGAACGGCGCATGTTCTTCGAACGCCTTGTACAGTTTTGTGAACAACATGGCGAACCGATAACAATGATCCCTCAAGTAAGATTTTGTGAAAACACTTTTTTTTTCGAGAGCGTTTCAGGAGTGAGTAAATGCTGTTTCAGGTTTCTAAGCAAAATGTTGATCTGCATAGGCTTTACATAGGCGTACGGAACCGTGGAGGATTTGAACAGGTGTGTTCCTTTTGAATTTGAACGATCTTCTAAAGTCTTTCTTTTTTTCGAAATTTTGGAGATGTTTCTTGTGATTTAGAGAATTTATTCTCGATGAATTTTGTAACTTAATGAAAGTTTGAACGTCCCTAAGTGAAGTTATTTAAATTGATGAGTTTTCAGTACTGTGAAATACCCAATGTCTCATCATATGTTGTGTATTGAAAGAATGCAATTTGTTCAGTTTAAACCACACTTGAATACTTCGGCATTATATTGAATTATAATTATCAATTATTATTATTAATTAATTACCAAATCATATGAAAAAAA